GGTTACATTTACGGTTAAATCAATTAAAATCGTATTTAATAAGAAGACCAAGAAGCTAGTGTAGCGTTGTGTGGGTACATCTTGAGATGCAGTAAGGTGATAACATTTTGTTTGTTTTGAATTTAGGATTTTATTCAATGCTTTACATGTATTTAATATTGTACTGGAGTTTTTTTATTGATACACCCAGTACAGCCTTAGCGTTTAGCATTAAGCCTCATAAAAAAGCAAGCTCTTGGCTGTGGACTTACTCGAGGTAATAACCCACTTAGTTTAGTTGATTAGAAACGGGAAGTACTTTCTAAAAATGTGACCCATTTGGTGTTTCTCAATGTCAAGGAAGGATGCTCCAGAGCCACTATTTCAAGGATGCTACGTCATCGAGTCCCGCCGAAGGACTGTTCCAATGTCCAGGCTCCTTGGAATTCTACCGAGCCCGGCGTCCTTCGTAGCGAGACATTTCGAGGCTGCACATATGTATCCTCCGTCTTAAAATCCCCACAATGCTTTGCGCACGGACCAATTTCCAAATCTTTTGGCGGAAATCGCGCTCCGTTTAAGGCGTTTAAGGCATATGACGCACAACTGTTAGCCTTTTCCACCATTCTTCGTTTTCCGAGGCTAGGAAGGATTCTTGCCTCGCTTCTGAAGGACCTGACTCGGAGGAACATGTCCTACCAAGGAAGCGTCCTCGACATTGAGAAACACCCAGAATCTCCCACCTGTTGTCCCAATTAACCAATCAAGCATGGGCGGTTCTGGGGGAGGGGGGCCAAGTTACTAAAACAAATATTAAGAAATAAGATAACAACGTTTATTTTGCATTAATAATGTATTTATTTCCCGAAAAAGTATTTTAATGTTCTGTATCTTCGGCCAAAGTAACAAAAAAAAATGAATACAATTGTAAAAAAGTAATCGACACAAAGTCTGTTCTAAATCAAACACCAATAAGGTTATTTCATGCGCTATGACTTTAAACCAAACATGTTCAAACCTCCTCCTTCCTGCATTAAATGGGTCCCTCTCATTACATTATTGCCCCCCCCCCCCACCCCCACAGTCAAATTAGTCTAGAACAATCACTGAAATCAAGACCTCACAGATTAATGTATTAAGAGGCCAGTTCTCTCTCCTGATTGGTTACAACCTGCTCACCTGACCTGAGACCTGTTTTCATTCGACTGTTTCATAGACGATCCAAAAAAGGCACTGAATGAAATCTCTTCATTCCTCCTGCTTTAAGATGTATGTGCTTTTATCAGAAAGTAAGTCTGACTGGCAGCAGATTGATCAGATTGATCAGATTTGTGTCCAGGACAACAATGAATACCTATTTCTATTGTAATGATCAAACGGCGTTGAAGATCAGCTTTGACCCTCGCTCATTCCCCATAAAGCTGTCGACGTCACTTCAGGTTTATTTTCAACTTCATTTAACTTAAAGGGGCAGCATCCTGAAGTTGGTTACCATGGTTACCTACATCTAGAGATGACCTAGTTATCTAACAGCAAACCTCGAGTCCTTCAAACGACTCGCTATCTTTCCTCCTCCTCTTCCTCCCCCTCTTCCTCACGATAAGTGCTATATGCTTGTAAAGTAATGTATATCTTATTATGAAACACTATATAACAATGACAGTTTGAAAAACACTTCGCATCATTAATACTTCTGTACTGTCATTTCTCATAACTGTTAACTAATTGATTTAATTAATTCATTAGTTTATTCATGTATTGTTTGTCATTCAACGTGGGCAGTGCACGTTAATCAAAATGCTGTTAATTTGACAAAGTGAGCCAAGAGGCTGTCGTCCCTGGACAGATGTTTCAAAGTCATCATAAATGATTGCATTAAAAAACATATTGCCTGAAGGCGTCATCATCCCCAACTTCAAAGATATCTGTTTAGCCGTGTTCAGTATATTAGTTAGGGAGACGTTCTTCTGTTATAGCTTTAACGACAGCAAACCATGTCGTTATGCAGTCAAATAAACGACGTGTTGTTGATCTCTTAAAGGTCCCCTGTTATACTGTTTTTCATCAATATAATATAGGTCTCAGATATATCCAGAGCCTGTCTCTGATTGGCTGAAACACCAAACAGATCATTGCAGCATTACCCATAATCCCCTCTGTTTCAGCCCTGTTTCCAAAGTGCTGATTCTCTGTCTGTTACTTTAGATGAAAATAAGGAGCCCCTCCCCACGCCCCTCTGAGAGANGCTCCGAACCGGCCCTGGAACCGCGTTGGTGTGAAAGGGGTATGAGAGACATTTGGTTAGAAAGAACTCAATGGTGCTCTAGGAGGAGATTCAGGTGATAAGGTGGGGGGGGTTACCATGGTTGCTGATTGGCTAATGGTTACACAAGCCACAAAAATCGTTATGACATCATAAAGTGGTCAAAATCTGATCAGCTCATTTTCAGACAGTTTTTATAGAAATGGATCAGGACAAAAAGAGAGAGAATCTTTGTTCCTGAAACTTTCAGAGTCTCTTTCCACAGAGGGGACACATGTTGATGTAGAAGAGACATGAAGAAGAGGGGACACATGTTGATGTAGAAGAGACATGAAGAAGAGGGGACACATGTTGATGTAGAAGAGACATGAAGAAGAGGGGACACATGTTGATGTAGAAGAGACATGGACAAGAGGGGACACATGTTGATGTAGAAGAGACATGAAGAAGAGGGGACACATGTTGATGTAGAAGAGACATGAAGAAGAGGGGACACATGTTGATGTAGAAGAGACATGGAGAAGAGGGGACACATGTTGATGTAGAAGAGACATGAAGAAGAGGGGACACATGTTGATGTAGAAGAGACATGGAAAAGTGGATTTTGCATAATAGGTGACCTTTGATAAAGAAATTGACACACAGTTTGATGTTCCTCCAGCTCCTGATCAAACAGATCGACTCATCGGACAGCGTGCACACCATCGGCAGCGCCATCAGCAACCTGCTGTCGCTCACACAGGACGGCCCGCAGCTCTGCAGCATCATCGCCAAGGTACTGATTGACAGGTTAAAATGTTTCCGTCTGCGATGAACCACTGACGCATTTCATCGTGCAAAAAAACCCTGTGAGGTCGGAGATCCTGACGTCAGAGACAAGTCAGCGGCATGATGGATTATATTCTTAGATTTGCGATTTTTCAAACTAGCCTTCCTCCTTGTCTTTGGCAGAAGCAGCTTCCTTTGATATCACTTCTCCACCCCTGTAGACACACCCCTCTTATGATCAGCTTCACCTTTTGCTAAAGTTCATCATCCAGCAGACCTGCAGCTATCTCTTTGAACTCGCCTCTAAAAAGCTATTTCACTCTGAGATAAGACGAGGCAGATCAGACAGCAAGTCTCAGTTGGCCATTAGTTAACCGACTGCTTCCAGGATACTCTTGATAAGGCTCTTCTTGATGGGCCCACACACACACACACACACACACACACACACACACACACACACACACACACACACACACACACACACACACACACACACACACACACACACACACACACCTGCTTTGCTGCCAGATATTCAGATCAATACTGCCAGCTCCCATTAGGAGTGAGCATTGGTCACGAATGCAGGTTGCTCAGTCTTTACCCTTTAATCCGCTCCGCCTTTCTTACCTCCCTTTATATCCCTTATTCTTTTTTTTTTTTACTCTTATTTTGTAGATTGGTGCAGGAATGACTCTTAAAGTTAACATTTCTACCACTTCCAGTTTCTCGTCTCAAAGTCAATGATGTTCTTGAATTCGTTTTTAGTTAGAAGCCTGAAATAAGGTCTATGGTTAACATAAGCTTAAGAGATATTGATGTTTGTTCTACGACATAAAATAGATCAGTAAATACCCCACTTGTGAATGTATGAAGCTTCTATGTCTTTAAAAACGATGGTTGCCAACAAACAACTAAATGAGACTATTAAATGTCATCTTCCCGAATGTTAGCCGCCTTTAGCTTAGCGGTGTTGACATGAAGTCAATCGACCACAAAGTAGTTTGTAGCGTTAAGATGTCACGTTAACATTTACTTCTTGTGATTCCATTTATGCTTCAAAAATCTCGAAGTGGTGTTATTATGTGTAGAGGATCATGCTCCATATTCCAATGTAAATAGTGGCGAACCGTGTCTATCACAACTGGACCTTCTGTAGACACACACACCCCCGCCGCCGTCGCCCCCCTTCCGCGGCATTATAATGTCCGTCTTTTCACTGAATTGTCGTCTTGAAAAGGGTACTCACAACAATTCCGCAACAACTTCATCTTCACCTGTTGCATTTGTCATTTCAACGTTAAAAGCAATAAAACGGCATGAATTGCTTCGTCGCATTCATCTAGATCCTCTGTCTCGAGCCAGTTAACTAGCGGGCCTTCTCGAGTACCCTGGAACCGAGGGAAACTCTGAAAGAATACGCCCATTGGCTACAAATCAATATATGATTGGTTGATCAAACGGTCAGTCCAAACGTATGCTCTCATTCAGTGCAACGGCCAGGGCATTCTATCAAGGATATAGAATACCTTGGTTGAAGGATATTCTACCCAGAACAAGATCTGATTGGTTGCTTTCTTTTCTAACACAAAACCACTGAAATGCGTAGTGCATGGTCCGAGAAAGATAAACAACGTAACACTGTAATATTACAGATCAACAACACGGATACGATTCTCATTTATTCATTTTATATACATTTTATTACATTTAATTACATTTAATTACATTGAATTAAATCGATTTTTTGGTTTGTGTTATCTGAGTGTTCCAGGGTATTCTCTGAATACCTTGAAGGCCCTGACGGTTCGCCACTGGTAAATATCCCATTGGCTTTCTGTAGAGGAAGCCATTGCAATGCTAACTTCAAGGTTAGCCATAAAAAAAATGACGTTCAACAACAAAAATAAAAGCTGCTTTTCTTTACTTCAGTCTTTAGTCGAGGTCCGATTGTTTCATAAATACCTGCACATTTTAGGTCTGCAACTGTTATCATGGTGTGTACTGCACATGTACCTCGCTAAATTGAAAAGCTTAAAAAACAGAGTGAGCCCTCAGAGAGGCGTCGGCAGCACCTGCCAATGACTGCTAATGAATACCCAAAACAAAACATCCTCCACCTGCGTCTGAATTAATGAACTAGCACCAGTCAGTCTGTCACACACTCACAAACACACCCTTTTTTACAGAAGTGTGTGTCCTCTGGTTCATATCCAAGCTCTTCACTAATTATTATTTTCCACAGCCTGCTAACTTTACTCACGCATTTGTTTAAAAACCTGCGATGAGGCGTTAAATGTTTGGCTCCTGATATTTCTTGTCATTCTTCTCTTGATAGCCAGTGTTTAGAGAGTGTAGAGCTGAAGAAGGGAGGCACTCACATGTGTGGAAGTGAAGCATGCGGCTGATAAATAAAGATGGATCATAGTGTTGTGATGGAAGAACCAGATGAGAACAGTGTAATGGATACCAGACAGTTTGAGGCGGTGGCAGCTTCTGAGAAAATCTGAGTATTGTGTTATAATTAAATTGATATTTAACGGCAGGTCCTAATTGTTGCTAACACTTCAACACATAAGGGTCGTTGTCTTCGACTGGGTTTTGTAGAAGATTTCAAGAGGGCATATTCTGCTTTTTTGGGGTTTTCCGTTTCCTGTAGTGTGTTATAGGTTTCTGTGCATGTAAATGTTCTACACAGGGTAAAATCCCTGTTCCCATCAAGGTGCTTTTATTGGTTAGTGCTTCAACACACTGTAAGCCAGCCAGCTAACCAATCAGAGCAGACTGGGCTCTGGTTTCAGACAGAGGGTGAAAAGAGGACACTACATACTGATATACACCTGAACATCAGCAGGAGAGGACTCTTTAAAGTAGAGACACTACATACTGATATACACCTGAACATNAATATTTGTCAGTTCTGGGAGTCCGGTTTCGGGTACCAGATGTGTTCGGAGGTACGCATGAATGTGTTCGGGTCCTCCTTACAGTGACGTCACGACGTACGACGCTCACGACGTAACTGACGTAAATGACGTCAAGCCATTGCTGATTGGCTGTCACGGACATTTTAGCCCAGCCCGTCTAAGAGTATCAGAGGGCGTTTTTTGATCCTTACATTACATTCGCATTGGCTGACGCTTAAGTGCATTCGCCAACAGATACAAAACTTGAAAGAAATACAATACAAACTTGAAGAAAACAAAGACGAACGAGGAGAAAGAACAAGAGAAATCGAAGGAAAGAAGTATACGTAACGTAAATATGTTAAGGTAATAGCTTGTACAATTGTTCAGTGCCCGTTGGAACACCGTAACAACGGACCCTATTTTCATTAGCGGATGCATGTTAATTAAATCAATACATACAACTATTTACATGTAAATATTTTTCTTAAGCCCTTAATACTTAATATTACTTATTTCGTTTTGATTGTTATTTGATTGTATTATATTATTTATCGGCAATAACATTCCGTACCCGAATGATAGCCTCAGTATCGATAATAGACTTTCTATATAAAATTATCAAAAAAAGTATTTGATTAAGTGAACGGGATAACTGTCAGCATCACAATCAAGCCAATCCGGATAATCCATAAAGACCAAGTCAAACATTCTCGCTCTCGTGGTACAGTTGTTATCAAGTATGATCGGTTGAGAGAGCGAGGAGAGCCTCATTTTGCGCGCTGCGCAAACTTGCACCAGATCTGCGATTGCATGTTAACTTCAATATAACCCCAGAAAAAGCATCACCCAACCAAAGGGAGCGCTTTGTGTCTTCCTTCTGTCTGTCTGGGTAATCTGTGCTATTCCTTCATGTTCCGATTAACCCAGCAAATGTTTCTCTTTTGTGTCTATATCCGAGCCCGGGATCTTGAGTCTGCACCGGCTGATCCTCCTGCTGTGGGTCCCGCATCCTCGGAGTCCTCTAATCCCTGGAGTTGCTGGACCTCTTAAGTCGTGGGCACCTTCGGCGTCCGTGGCTGAACCTGTCCCCTCTGCGGTCCTGCCTGGGGTCTCCGTCGTGCGTGCCTGTCCCCTGAAGCTCCCACAGGATTGGTGACATCTTCGTGGATTCATCTTCTATTACAGACCACATTCATTTCCTAACATTCGGTCTACCTAATTGTTGTAAATGTATTATCTCTTATGATTTAACACGGCATCCTAATTGCTACGTCTGTCCCGTCTGGGAGAGGGATCCCTCCTCTGTTGCTCTCCCGCGAGGTTTTCCCCCCATTTTTCCCTTTAAACTGTGGGTTTTCTCTGGAAGTTTTCCCTTGTCTAAGGATCAGAGGGTGTCGTTTTCTTCTCATACTGATATTCTGAACAAACTGCTGTTGTACAGCTGTAAAATGTCTTTTCACCTGTAGGGTCATTTTTATTATTTGTACAGCACTGTTGAGCTCGACCAACATCGTTATAAATGTGCTATATAAATAAAACTTGAATTGATTGATTGATTTGAAAGGGTGTGCGCCCAAGGTTGGCATATTAGGACCAAATAATTATCACCATATACTGTATGTAAATAATCTCTAATAATTTTCAAATGATTCTGCTTTTCCATTTTTATGCAATGAATACTGTATTTATTTGTTCATCTACCTGTTCTATAGAGCAAAGTCTTGATTTTCCTCCAGCTGCCTTTGATGTTATTCCATCCCATTTAGTCTCAACTCAAGTTAGGATGTAAAATGCAGACAACTCAAACTCATGAGTATTCTCAAAATGCAAAAGTTAACTTCTTTTTTCCGGCAACATTTGTCACTAGTTCCAAGCGCGACTGACATACTGACATTGAAAGGGTCACTACATACACATATCTAGGGTTCTTATTATTGATCAGAACTTATCTTCTCAAGCCACACACTGAAAATGTGTTTTAAAATTAGGTTTCTCCTTTCATGACAAAGGAAACATGTGATCTCTGCAACGTTTTTCACCAGTATTGGATTCATGGTGATCTGCTTACATAATGCCTCTGTACCTAGTGCCTAAAGAGTTTGGATACGTGTCACCATTGTTGCACTTATGCTGAATCAATTATCTATTTTCAGTAGGGAGAGCCTGCAGCAGTAAGGTTACCATAATGAAGACATAAAAACTAGGGCCGCGGATTAACGCGTTATTAAGATTAAAATCCAATTACACAAAAAATTAACGCGTTAAAAAATTAAACGCATTTTAATCCGCAACTTATTTTTGGCACCGCGGAACGTTTCTCACTGGATGAGTTTCAGGGGTAACCGATTTATAATGGGAGCACCCAACCTAACGTTCATATACTTCAGACAACCAACAAACCACAGTGAACAATAGTCCAAACGTGAACGAAGAAGCTGGATGAGACCGCTTTGGTTGGCCCCGTGGATGGGACATTTTGTTTTAAAAGCGGACGGATGAAAGCGTCAATAAGAGCACGGTGTTTGCAAATTATGCCAAAAAGGAATTCCGCATATCACCGCAGCACATCAAGGCCTCAAGTATCACCTCAATGCAAAACATATAAGCAGTCACGCGTGGAAGCCTAGCGTGGACGTTAGCCGACTCGGACTTACAAGACCCACACCCCCACCCAATTCGCGGGGTGATCAACAGTGGCCCTAATGCACACAGAGAGATTACTTATTTTTCATCAGGATACTTCTGGAAGAATAGGAAGGGATTGAGTCAATCACTAGGCACTTTTTTATTTTATTTTAAATGGGTAGCACTTTATGTTGAAACTATTTTATTACGTTGTTGGTGGCACACTGGCACTTTTATGGTAACTGGTGTTATTGTTTTGGCCAAGGGTTATTGAGAGAGGTGGAACTGTAAATGTATTAGATTTTTTGAAATCAACTGGTTGTAAATCAACCAAAGGCTGTATGGCTCCTGAAGCAACAGAGAGGTGTTTTCAATAGCTCCAGGGGTTTCCATATGCTCTGGATGTACTTGAAAGTGATTGTGTTTTACTGTAAAAAACAAAGTGTTATTTTACAGAGAGGTCTGACTACCTAAGGCTACCTGAATCTCTGAACATGTGACTATATTCCTGAAATATGTGCTATTGCTACATCTTATGGCAGAAAATGCACTGTTCTGTTGCGTTGGAAGAACCTCCGTTGAAAAAAGAAACAATGTTTTTGTTGCTTAAGCATGTATTCAGTCATTGATTCAATGTATGACTAAAAATCCATGGAAAGAAAATTGCTTTTACACTGTTCTCAAGGTCAAATATTTATATGCGGAGTTAAAAATGCGATCTAATTGCGATTAATATTACAAAGGCCTGTAATGTAATTAGATTTAATTTTTTAAATCGAGTCCCGGCCCCTAAATAAAAAACATAACACAACAGAACAACAAAAGGTCACATACCAGCAAAAATTACAGGGATTACAATTTACAGTATCTAATCCACATGTACACGTACCAACAGCATGCTGACTGTGTGGAGCATCCCAACTGAGCTTTAAAAACATGTAGTGGTACCAGCTGGTGAATTCTTCGCATTCTTTGTTGCAGACTGTTCCAAGTTAGTGGAGCTGCACATCTAAAATGCTTTCTCCCTAAGACAGTCCCTAGCACTTTGGCACATTTAATAAAACCACAGCATTGAGATCTCAGGCAAAAAGTATCTTTCAATTTGCCGAGAGAAGTGGGCAGATATAGATGGTCTTTATCCAACATGGCTTTGTAAATGAAAATGTACCAGTGACTGAGCCTCCGTACAGTAAGTGATGGCAAAACCGCCTTGGTTTACAGTGTACAGTGATGCGTAAGTGCTTTACAGTTTGTCACAAATCTTAGTGCACTGTGATAGTAAAACCTTATTGTGGTGTAATTATATATCCAAAGCAGTCAGAAGTCAGATAATCATTTGTGATGTTTAACCACTCAGAAGACAGCCCATCCAAATGAACACATTGAGACCTTTCAGAGAGGTAGTTCATCTTCTACATATAATAACGGACAAAGTAAAGAATGAAGTGTAGGCTATGT